CTGGCTTTTTGTTTATTAAAGGTTTGTTTTCTCAAAAATGCTCATATGGAGCTAAATTGTTACAGACTGTCCTTTCATCATTGCCAAACAAGCTATTGATAATGCTCAGTCTGGAACATTCCTGGACTCTGAACCATTCACTGTCTATTGTCTGTTGGAAAATGAAGCAGCACAAAGCAAAGCATGCAAAAGTCAAAAATTGTTATGCCTGACGAACAAAAAAAATAAAATAAAAATCAGAACATTTCCAAAATATCAGGAAGGGCCAGCTGGCTAGTTGACATCCACAGGCTGCTTCCATCTGTCAACATGTAAGCTCTTATTATGCTAATATGCTTGAGCTTTTTAAGTTAAACATTGCTGTTTATGCCAAGTCCTTTTATTCTGCTTAAATCCTTAGTCAGCGCAGGGGTCAGCATTTTTAAATAAGCTGTCCACATTTCATTTACTGTAGTAAAAGGAAACAGACGAAAGGTCCGTCAACAAGAGACCATCAAGGTCTAATGAATTCCATAGATTCTTCTTCCCCAGTTAAAGACTCTGTACTGACTGGAATATAACCACAGCAGACTGACGCTTCAGAGCACTGCTGATTTACATGTGCTGAAAGGTACAATGCACAGCTATTCATTTGTAGTGCAGTGGCCAAATAAATACTGAAAAATAAGTTCCTTATTTTTTAAGGTAAAATCAAAAAGTGCAAACTGTTTCATTAAAGGGGTCATGTGATGTTGCTAAAAAGAAGTGGAGGGCGTGGACGAGTCTTAACCTAAATAAAGAATATCTCTTTGGGTTTGAGACGTTAGTCTTTGCAATTTTAGGGATCTTATCTATTCACGAACAGCTTGTAACACTCCAAAGAGAAAAGAAAACTTGAAATCGCATCATATGACCCCTTTAAGTTTTTTTTTATTTTTTCAAAAATGAAATGGCACTTTGTTGTCTTTTGTAAGTAAGTAATAATGCTAGGGAGACACTGATCTTAAAATTCTGGCCAATATTGATAAGCCGATAATTAGTGATAACCGATTAATAGAGAGATCTAAAACGTCTATGTTATTTTGCCTAAAGAAATTAAAGCACTAAAACTAAAATCAGTTATTAGTGATTTTAAATGTTGACTTGCAAGAAATAGTTAATCCAAAAAAGATTTGCTGAAAATGTACTCATTCTCAGGCCATATGAGATTCTTTGGAACACATTTGGATAAATTTAGCATTACATCACTTGCTCACCAATGGATCCTCTGCAGTGAATGGGTGCCGTCAGAATAAGAGTCCAAACAGCTGATAAAAACATCACAATAATCCACAAGTAATTTAAGTAATCCACAAGCTGTGTGTTTGCAAGACACAAGTCCATGATTTGTCCATGACAGGCATTTTAACTTCAAACCGTTGCTTCTGCCCAAAATATGAGTCCTATGTATATTAATATTGCTTTCTCCAGTTAAAAAGTCATCCTGTCTGAATCAGGAGGGAACTCATTAATGATGGATTTGTTTCTTTCAAACATTCAACTTTTCACTTCACAAGAGGTTAATTGATGGACTGGAGTGGTGTGGATTGCTGTGATGTTTTTATCAGCTGTTTGGACTCTCACCCTGATGGCACCCATTCACTGCAGAGGATCCATTGATGAGCAAGAGATGTAATGATACATTTCTCCAAATCTGTTGTGAGGAAGAAAAAAACTCATCTACATCTTGGATGGCCTGAGGGTGAGTATATTTTCAGCAAATCTTCATTTATGTGTCAACTATTCCTTTAAGAGTGCGTTAGATGACGGTGAATCTAAATGTAAAAAGATGAAATGAGTATTCACAATTTAATATTCAGTATCTACCAAAACTAGCTGATAACCGATGGTACTGATATATCATACATCCCTAAAAATTGTTCACACCTGATCCTGTTTTAGGGCTGTGAGATTATTTAGTTTGGTGCCTCCTCATATACACTATATGTGTGTGCCGACTGCATCAGGTCTGGCTGTGATAGATGAGGTGGATTTAGCTCCCAGCGTTGTGTGGACTGGGCTTGGCTCGACTGAGCGAAAAATTGTGGGATCAGAAGAGTGGAGTATATTCTGCCAGGAGAAGCTAGTCTTGATGGGAATCTTAGCTTAGACACAGAAAGCAGGATCCCGTCACCTTGACAAAGCAAAATCCAGTGTGGGCAACTATACTCTCACTGCATATAAAGTAGGGAAGTGTTATTGTGAGAAAAGTAACAGTTCTGGCCAGATGAAAAAAGAGCTTGTACAAAATGCAGTTGGCATGGTTTTCTCTTTCATTTAGCAAAAAGTTTCCTTTTATTCATTTCAAAGTTAACTGCACCACTGCACTGAGCACAATGAATGTGCTTTTAAAAGAAGGGGCTGTATTTGGAGGGGTAACAACAAGCATAAAACAAGTCAGAAATAAAATACAATAGAGGATGTCTGTGGGTAGCAGATATGAGCTTGAGTAATGTTTTATGGTATTAAAGCCCCGATTACACTTGTAGTCCATGCGTGTAGCTTTGAGCTCATCTAAATGCTATAGTGTACTTCTAAACGTTGACAGATATAATATAAAATCCTGCACTACACAGATTTTTGTCCAATCAGATGCTTTCTAGATTCAGTGTCCGTCCCCTTAATACCAACAGCAGCTAGCAAGTAGTAAATCATATTCATGGCTGTGACATAAAGTAAAGGCTAAAAGGTTTGGAGCCAGTAAGATGTAAAATAAATAAATAAAAATTATAGTTTTATTTAGCAAGGACACATTAAATTGGCAGTAATGTCAATAAAGACATTTATGATGTTACAGAAGATTTGTAAGACCTTTTGACCTTTCTATTCATAAAAGAATCCTGAAATAAAATGTATCACCATTTCCACAAAAATGATTAAGCAGCACAACTGTTTTCAAAACTGATAATAATAATAAATGTCTCTTGAGCAGCAAATCAGTATATTCGAATGATTTCTGAAGGATCATGTGACACTGAAGACTGGCGTAATGGCTGCTGAAAATTCAGCTTTCAGAAATAAAATACATTTTAAAATATATTCAAATACAAACCCATTTGTATAAATTACAATATTTCATCAATATTTCAGTATTGCTGTTTTCCCCTCTATTTTAAAGAGATAAATGGCACAACAGTCAATGTTGTTGTGTAGGCCTCAGTTTTAACCCTACTTTGCAACAAATTAGAACAACTACCCAATGTTACTGTAGGTCAAAACTAGAAAGACAATATAGTGATCCTCTCAAAACAGTGCCTGCACTGCCCTCATCTGGCAAAAAGAGCCGAATATCACCACACTACAGGACTCAGTGATTTAACTGCTATGCTCACTTAGTGTTTTACTGGCTGTGTGGTGGATTTTAAAACCCAACCAAATTGCTTCCCGCCAGCATTTTATGACATCTTTTAGTGTTGCAAGTTACAGTGATTAATAAAAGGTTTACAAAATTTTCCTATTGGCCTATAATATTCGCAGTTATGGTGTCTAGTTCAGTGTTCAAGCACATTCAGTCATTTGTTTCCTCCAGCACTGAGGAACATTCTCATAAAAGAGCTGAGATATGCATGTAATATACTGTCAGACAGATGTTTGATGACTATAACACTGCAGCTAACGTTTATCCTTTAGTTTTCTGCTTTACACAATCATTTTGAAAGCACATCAGGGTCATAAATGCATACACAGTTTTTATAAATTGTTTTTATATACACAGTGCATTCACACATACACAGTTTTAAACACTTGCATTTTCTGAAATCTTGTCTCTCTTTTCATTAGTTGCTTTGTTTAGCAGGGGTTTCATTGACAGACAAATGTGGAACGCAATGGCAACTTCAAGCATTAGGGCCTATGTATGGTGAATGGGTTTGGAACAAACAAACACACAGTAATCATCTGAATCACACATAAAAATGGTGTAAATACTGCTATTGGGATTGGGGTATTATAAAGGGATACATCTTTTTTATACGTTTTTTTTTTTTTGACACAGGGATATAGAGCTAACCAACTAAAGATCATTTGGCTAGAAAAGTTGATGTGGAATGGACTGAACCTTGTCTGAATGAGTGGAAATCCTTTATGTGGAGATATGGGCAACCTGACTGCATTGAAGTGATGAGGCTAAGGATGGTGTGCTTTGATGAAGAAATAGAAATTGTACATATCATGATATTGTTTGTACTGGTTGTACTTATATTATCAGTGGAAGCTTGTTTCCACCACAGGATAAAAATAAACAAATAAAGGTAATTCTCAGAAATGCAAGATGTAAATGAAGAATTGTGAGATATAAACTCGTAATTTTGAAAAGAAAAGTATAAATTGTGAGGTAAAAAGTTGCAATTAAATTTTTTTTTAACACACACACACACACACACACACACAAGAGCAGATTGTTATGAATAGCTGAAACCTCCATGTTGCACATTACAGTCAAACCAATTATTTATCTAAATCACATTAGTAGGGCAGTTGCCATTATCTAAAAGGCATATCTTTCAGAAATGGAATCAAATGCTGATTCATTGCGATTTCAGTTAAATGTAATCAATTCTTGAATGGACCTTGCTGTACAATAACAGCAAATAACAAACTGCTGTTATCAAAACTATTCTCAAACATGCAATTTTGTTCTTGATTATAGAAGTTATTCTATATTATTATTTTGTGTTCAGTAAACAAACACACGAATGCCTTCAGCCTGAAGGGAGATATGAATATCACAATGCTGTAGCCTAACACATAAACTGCACTTTAACAGTAGTGGATTTTTAAGCGCTGTCAAAAAGATCCACAATCATTTTGTACGACACATACCTCGATGTAATCTCGATATGCTGTACATTTTAGGGACAAGAGATGGAAGAGTCAGCATCATTCACATCGAGAGAGAGAGAGAGAGAGAGAGAGAGAGAGAGAGAGCAGCAAGGTTTGTATCAGCCTGTCACATGACGCTGATATGGATTGCTGATACTAAATGACATAACATAAATAATAAATGACATCACTCAGTGAACACCATATAACAAACATCTACCTTTCATTTGCTCTTCGGGAGGTATTGTAATGGACCTAGAATCCAAGGCTGTGTAGGTGTGGATTTGTTTTTGACATCATGGGTTGTGGAGGCTCCAGGACAGATGTGTTGGAGCCCAGATATATGGAGAGCTGGACCAAAGAGACAGAGTCCACTTGGCTGACGAGCACGGACACAGACATACCCCTGTCCTCCATCCAGAGCATCCCCTCAGAAAACTCTTCAGAGGTGGGCTTCCCATCAGAGAAAACTGCCAACATCGGTGAGAACGGACTGAGATCATATTTCATATCTCATTTTTGAACGCTTTTGAAATGAATGTCTTCGTATTTAATTAGCTGAACATATCATTTCACCTTAGTCACTCCAGTTTTACATGTCAAACTTTTCGAATAATATTCCCTTTCAAGACGGACAGGGAAAGTGTTGCGAGGCTGCTGTTGGTGAGCAATTCATTCAAGTAGGCCTCTTGTTGCCATGGAGATGGTTAAATCCCTTTAGTACTTCAGTACGACAATACGAGCCAGGATGAACACAATAAGCGCTCCTTACCGCTTTGTGCAGAATTGTTGAATTGCTGATGCATGCAACACCCGCTGAGTGGCATTAAACAGCTTGAAAGATCAAAGACCATTTTTAATATAACTTCGACTGGATTCGTCAGAAAGAAGAAAGTCATATACACCTAGGATGACTTGAGGGTGAGTAATTTGTGGGTGAACTAACCCTTTAAGGCAGCTACAGTGGATAAATGATCATATAAAAATAAATTGATAGCAGATTATTAAATCAGATAGACAAGACAGTCTTGACTATGACTACTAGAATAATTTTTTTAGGTGTTCTGTTTCAGGATTTTTAGCCCTGTTAGGAAGATGTCAGAATATATATATATATATATATATACTACTGGTCAAAAGTTTGAAATAATTGTTTTTATTATTATTATTATGTAAATAATAATTTTTTTTTCTTATATGCTTGCCAAGGCAGCATTTATTTGATTAAAAAAAAGTAAAATAGTAGCATTGTGAAATATTGTTCCAATTTAAAATAGCTGCTTTTTATTTAAATATATATTGAAATGCCGTTTATTCCTGTGTTGGTAAAGCTGAATTTTCAGCATCATTACTCCAGTCTTAAGTGTCACATGATACTAATCATTCTAATATACTGATTTGCTGCTCAAGAAACATCAGCTTTACCATCACAGAAATAAATTACATTTTAAAATATTTTATTATATTAGTAAATATAGCATATCGAGTATATATTATAAATATATAAATATAGTCTGTATTAGTAAATATAGTATTATATTTCACAGTATTACTGTTTTTATTTTATTTATTTTTATTTAACAAATTGGCCTTGTATACACCAGTGTTGTACGTATGTATGATTTAGAAATAATTTATAAATCATACATATATTTATTTATGTATATTTTATGTATATATTTTAATATATTGATTTTTAATTTATTTAATTTATATAAGGTATATAATATGACAATTAAAGGAATACTATCTACTGATGAGATAGACAGACAGACAGACAGACAGACAGACAGACAGACAGATAGATAGATAGATAGATATGAATTTGATTATTCATTTACATTTATTTTGTACCTCCACCCATACGTGAAATATTTCTGACTACAGTGTCAGTCACCACTACAGTGATTTTGTTAAAGAGAATAAATAACTTCCATATTTCTTTCTGACCACAGATTTCTTTGATGATGGTCTGCCTGCTCCAGCTCAGGCATATCTGAAAGTGTGTTCTGCCATGTCTGAGGTGGGTCTGAATGACATGAAACCTGGCAGCACCCCTGCAATCCTCTCTTCTCAAGAACAGGAAGTGCTGTCTTCTTCTGGCACCACAGTGCAGAGGAGGAGCGTGTTACGAACTGAGGAAATAGTAAGTATTTTAATAGAACATAAGGTTTTTTTTTTTTTTTGGTTTAGTCTTCTGCATGCAGCATGTGTGAACAAGACACTGTAAACTAAATCAGTGTTTCTGACCCTTGTCTTATTTAACGCTTCATCCACACCACACCAGAAATGTGTTTCTTTTGACTTATTATACCGAAAATAATTGATCATTATTGTTAATTTTTATTAAAGTGGACAGTAATACAATTAATACAATTATGCACACTGATTAAAACAATTGATATTGTGCATGAAAAACAGACCAGTGTTATTTTAGTATCATTGAGATACTATTATGTTTATTCATATTTGAATTTCTTTTTCTTTTTATATTTTTCATTTTAATCTCATTTAAAGTTTTTGTTTTGTTGTCATTTTTTTGTCAATTTTTAAATATTTTTTTAAATAAATTTTTATCTCTGTTTTAGATTTAATTATTTTAGTGCAAGTTTAAACTAAATTAAAATGTGAAACGTTGCATTGAAAACTATAACTGAAATTAAAAAAAATTAGGAAATAAAATGTGACCTTTTGATTATTTATCTGAGAAATGTGATAGGTTGTCTAAGCAATTGAGGGAAAACTGTAATAAAATGTTAAAAAGATTTGGTAATAATTATGTCATAATAATTATAATCTTTCAATGTCATCATTAGACCAAATGGCAGGACAACCGGATGTCCACCAAGCAAGTGACCATCACTGTGACTCAAAGTATCCGGCAGGTGGATAAGAGCGGGAAGATCAAGGAAACATCACAAACCACCTACGAGGTCATGAAACCGGTGGACGGTTTGATGGACGCAGTAGTTGACTCGTTGCCTCAATGAGGTGTTTCCCAAGACCTCATGAAGACTGTATCTTGGGTTTCAGGAAAGATTTGGTGAAGATGTCAGGGACCAAAGAAGTAAAAAGCAGGGATGACCTAAATGAAGAAGTTCATCAGTGCTGTGATTAACGGGTTTCAAGGGTCAGTTAATTGTTAGTTTCATTATTTAGTTCCACTTGACTGATTTAAAGGGGTCCTATTATGCTTTTTCACTTTTTCAACTTTAGTTAGTCTGTAATGTTGCTGTTTGAGCATAAAAAAGATCTGCAAAGTTCAAAGTCCACTTCAAAAGGAGATATTTTATTTAACAGAAATCACTTTTCAAAAACTACAACGAA